GCAGTTGTGAAGGTTCGTCCATGTCTGAGAGCTGCTTCTGCAGTTGTGAGCAATAACTTGTCATGTGATATTGATGTCTTGGACGGCTGATCTCTGTAAGCTCAACAGCACATTGTCCATGGGCAGCCAGTCCAGGGTAGCGACATTTACAGCATCTGCAAAGTTGAAGCCACAGATGAACCCAGAATGGTAAGCTCATGGTAATGTCCGAACAAACTCGCCTGAATTCTGAACAACACAGTAAACAGGAACTCCTTATGATTTTAGAACAGAAGGGGACAAACTGTGTGACCCGTACAGAGAAACTCAGAATGAAAATGGATGAAAGTGCAAATATATTTGCATAATGAAGGGCGATAATGATTCCTCATGTTGACGATTATGCTGCATGTTTGCGGAAATTAGCAATAAGACAGCTCTAATAGGAAATCTGACAACTAATCTAACTATAAATCCTGAAAAATTATGATAAAAAAGCAGTCAAAGATACATGAGCATTGGAAAATTGACAAAAAAAATATTAAGGAACATGAAACAACACAATAGAAATTAAGATTCAGGGAGAAAACCCTGACTGATTTGATTCATTTGTATGTTTATGAGATGATGCTGTACAACAGACACAACATCATTTGGCTGTCAACACTACCACAAAACCCTCCTTGTCAGCAGCTACTACAGGTCTATTCCAGTATCAAAACTGAGAAGAAAAAAGAGAGGCAAAATCCTCAACCTCCGCCGGGGACAAAATTTGATTTTGAATTCTACATTGTTCAATGCCGGAGACGAAGACAACGAGGCTGCTCACGTATGCTGCAGTGACAGCAGCAGAATGCACTCCAGGCTGTGCATCCAGCATCGGCCCAGCCTCCCTGACAGACAGGCCTGGCCTGTCTAGACATACACGCCTGCCGCTCACATTCAGAAACTTGCACCGACAGCCGAGAGTTACTGAATAATAAAGCAACAACGCCAGATTTTCCAGCTCTATGTTGCTTCTCTCGCATCATCCCAACTTTGCAATTGTAAACGTGAGCAAGAGAAACCGCAGGAAGCTCCTCCACAGACCACAGCCACCTGTGATTGATCTGGGACATGTGACCCCCAATAAAGCAAATGGGGTCAAAAGACTGACAATAGGAGAGGGATTTAGAATTACAAATAGACTAAACAATGGTCCGAGAAGTCCAGCATCAACAACTTGTGAGATGTAGCAGCATATTTTTGTTTGATCTGGTGTGCCGTGGAATGTCACTCGACCTCTAAACTGAAAACATATCACTTTCTCTTAATTTTAACACTTTTACAGGCCATGGAAAATACTCACTACACCATTCAGTGTGTGTACCTTTTGGGAAGATAGCTTGATGACTGCACCAATTTTCACCACATATTACTCTTCCATAGTCAAGTGGCTCGGACTGATGCTTGATTTTGCTAGCTGGAGGCTTCATCAGATTGGCTTGAAGAAGGTTCAGCTAGTTGCCTAACCTGGGCACGCAAAGCCTTGGCCCCACTATGTTCAGCCAACACCAAACAGTTTCTTAGTATCCGAGAAGGACATGGAAACTCAGATGAATGGCTCAAGGGTTGTGTGCACCGGGAATTCGCACTAGCTGCGTCACTTGTCCCCAGGGACTCGCAGTCCAAGACCATCTTGTCCTTGCTAAGTTTTTTCCTAGAGCACTGCATGTAGAGCTCAATAAATTAACATGCTGCATCTGATGTGCTAGAACTGCATCCTAGCTCTTCTTTTATTCTAGGACTACTTGATGGACCTTCTACGTTCAGATCAACACATTTATTCGACACTTCAGATATCCCCCCGGGCACTGGCTTGTCAAGGTCCTCGCAGACATCAAGGCTGCAAACGATGTTGACATCAGTAACTGATCCAGATAATTCTCTGCCTTTACTGAAGTCCATATTCTTCTGATGCATACAAATAGATTGCCACCTTAATTGCACTTGTGAGCATTCCATTTTTTCCACAGGTACCCAACTATATATATTCCTTCTGCCCACTCTTGCAGTTGTGAAGGTTCATCCAGATCTGTCTGTGAGCTGCTTGTGAAGTTGCAGGTGATAACTTGTCATGTGATATTATGTCTTGCGCCGCTGATCTCTGATCTCTAGCATTGTCCGACATTTACAGCCTCTGCAAAGCTGAAGCCACAGTTGAACCCAGAATGGCAAGCTCGTGATAATGTCAGAACGAACTAGCCTGGATTCTCAACAACGTGATAAAAAGAAATTCCTTCTCATTTTAGAACAGAAGGAGATAACTGTGTAACATGTACAGATAAATTCAGAATGAAAAAGAAGGTGCAAATATATTTGCATAATGCAGGAGGAGAATGATTCTGACAATTATGCTGCATGTTTGCAGAGATTAGCAATAAGACAGCTCTACCAAAATAGTTTATCCGACTAATGATCCATAAATCCTAAAAAAATGATTAAAAAGCAGGCAAAGATACATGATCATTGGAAAATCAACAAAAAAATATTAAGGATGACACACATAGTAGATATTTAAGATTGATGAGGAAAACCCTGACTGATTTGATTCATTTGTATGTTTATGGGATGATACTGTACAACAGATACAACATCGATTGGCTGTCAACCCTACCACAAAACTCTCCGTGTCAGCAGCTACTGCAGGTCTATTCCAGTATCAAAACTGAGAAATAAAAAAGAAAAGGAGGCAAAATCCTCAATCTCCACAGGGGGACAAAATCTGATTTTGAATTCTACATTGTTTCAGTGCCGAAGACGAAGACAAGCACAGCTTGAGAAACCTTCAAACATCTGGCATCATCTGGTTCCAGGATCTCAACAGTTTTGAAAGCTCCGCAACATGAGAGGCCAGAAGGCTTGCACCTTTGTCACCTAAGTGATGCTTAGCTCCTCTTGCCTTTTGACTCAACCCCAACTGTCTGTCCTGGGTTCCTCGAGAAAGCGCCATATGATCATGATGTGGCCTGCAGGTGCTGGTGTCTGGACAGCAGCACTCTTTCCACTCAGAAATATGCTAGCCCATCGTGTACAAAAACTCATCGACTGACACTAGGGTTCCGCATGATTCATTTTATTTCTTGCAGCCCATCAGCAGCAGAGGAAAGTACACAACTACGCATCATTTGCTCACTCGGTAGCTGAAGGATCTGTATCACGACCACCATCAGCAACGAGCACTCAGCAAGTTCCTCCTGAATCGGCTCCAGTTGGACAGCTCTCCAACGTCGTTTGCACATGAAAAACAAATGGCCCCATCTTCGAAAAACATGTTGCATACCACACATCTAATGTGATGCAATAGGCGACTGCTATGACAAAATGACCACAGGAATGATAGACTTTCGACCGGCAAATCTAGTTTCCAATCCTCTTCCCAGGCCCTTCCTCTAGTACTGCCACCGTGTTATATGTACCACGGTAAGCAACTCTGCTGAATGCCCCAAAGGTACCAACCTGTCATCGGAGGATATAAGACTATTTTCTCAAGACACTTCATTGCCACACTCTTCACTCTTGAAGTATTCACTATTCAGACCCAGGAGCCCTTAGGGATATAGATGAAATCATTGCAACTGCCTACAGAACTGAATATAGCCTGTTCACGTGCAGAGAAGTTTGTATCATGGAAAGTCAGAAACAAGCTCTTGTTCCTGCCCTGCAATCATAGCCTGCATTCAGAACAAAAGGATATGGAAGGAAAAACAGGCGACTGGACTAAGAACATGGAAATGCAAGATGTTAGTTCATTTTGGTACAGGCGGCAAAAATAGGGACAAATCAACAGCAGTCACATGCAATGCAGAAGTACTGTCTATGCAGTTGGCATCGTGATGTTAAGTGCAGCTTCAAGTAGCTAAACTACAATGATCATGAAACACTGGAGTGTGGATTCAAACTATAGCATAGGAGTTATATATAGCACATATGTGATGCACCTGATCCATGTTTTAAAGCTTCAGACTTATATTCTTCTAAACCTAGCTGCTAATAACATATGTGATGCACCTGATGTTGCAACTTCCACAACAGAAAATCTAGGTATTGATAGAAGTAGTTTGTTTTGTTATATAGTGATGAGGTATTTAGATCAGAGTTACAACTTGATGGTTTTATGGTGGAAAAGTTCTCTTTCGCTGTATACAATTGAAGTCGAATGAAAAGCAGTGCCAGAAGTCATATGCACCTCAGGATTATATTGTATGCTGAAGGCAGCAGCCTTGCAGACTTTCTCATAAGAAAGTTCAGAACTCAGGACCAACATTAAACTTGTTGTAGAAGCATTGGAGACCACACCTGTGATTTTTAGAGAAGTGTTATACAGTGTATTAAACAAATATGCATGTACGAGAGATCCGAAAAAATTAGGCATGAACCAACTTAAATCAAACAAGAAGTTATAAAGTCATCACTACCTTACATTGCTTTTGGCAATGTTTATCAGGTGTATGTCTTCAGCTAGAATCTGAAAAGATCCTTAGCTATTATAACAAGGATTATATTGGCTCTCCAGCTCTAAAAAAATCTTAGACTGTCCACTTGTTCAACAGGATTGCCTTCGCTTCACAATTACTCCCTCCGTTCCGAATTAAGTGTTGTGATTATAGTTCAAATTTGTACTAAAACCACAACACTTATTTTGAAACGGAGGGAGTAAATGTCTGTTGTGTACTCCCACCGTTTTGAACTAAAACCACGACGAGTAATTTGGAACGGAGGGAGTACATCTCAAAGGCTAGCACAATGCCCATAAATCAGAAGGTCAAAAGGAGGATTACCTTGTCCATTGCTACTTTCATGTGTCTGCCATGGTCTGGACGTCTGGTCCAGCTATGCATAAAGGGAGGAGGGCATCCATGTTGTATGTAACTGCAAAGTGATGCTCTTAGAATCAACTACTGACGCTCTTAAGGTAGGTGCGCGGAGGTGGCAGAGGCAGGACAGCTTCGAGTGGCTAAACCTCTCCAAGAACCTGGCTGCTACTTGTTCTCAAATTTCAGCACACTTATCAACCTTTCAGAAACTTCTCTGTCGAGAATGATACCATTTTCCATCATATATTCCCATACCTCATAAGCTAGTGTAGATCTTCCCTCGTCCAGGAGGCCGTTGATCAAATACTTGAATGTCAAGCTATCTGGTTCTACTCCCTTTGTCCTCATATCCTTGAAGAGATCAAGAGCTTCCATTGCTCTTGAATTTTTTCCAAGCCAATATATGAGTGTATTATAAGTAACAGTGTCAGGTAAGATTTCCTTCTGAATCATATGCAAGAATATTTTCTGAGCACGTTTGAGATCACCAACCTTGCACAGGTTATGAAGCATAATATTGTACAGATTAACATTAGGGTCAATCTGAGCCTTCAGCATCTGCTCAAAAAGTTCTTCAGCTAGATTATAGTATCCTATACTGAAAAGACCATTGATCAGAGTCCCATATGTCACAGCGTCAGCTTGCATTCCCTTATAATCCATTTCCTTGAACAGGTCCAGTGCAGATTTTACCTTTTTGGCCTTGCAAAATGCATCAATCAATATGTTACAGGATACAATATCACAGAACCCACCAACTTCCATATGATCAGAAACAAAAGCAAATGCCTTGTCCAGTTGATGAGTTTTGCAGAGCCCTTTCAACAACTGATTATAGCTGTATCGGTCAGGATTTACACCGCTTGTTTCCATCTTTGTTATCAATTTTTCAGCTTTCTCTATCATACCTATAGTGCAGTAATGATTCAAGAGGATATTATATGTAACAACATCTGGCTCACATCCGTTTGCCCGCATGAATGATATGATGGTATAGGCTTTATCAATGCTCCCAGCTCTCCAGAAGCCACTTATTAGGGCGTTGTATATTGAGACACTCAGTTCTATGTTCAGACTTAACATCCTTGATGCCAGTTCAAAAGCCTCTTCAACCTTGCTATTCTTGCACAGCCCAAAGATCAGTGCACCACAGGCAACAACATCTGGTTTAAGGCCCATCTTCACCATTTCTTCCCAAAGTCCAACTGCTTCTGAGAGCCTCTTATTGTTACATAAGCAGCCAACAACTGTTGTATAAGTCACAACATCTGGGCTGGTTCCTTTCCCCCGCATCTTCTCTACCATCTGCAGTGCATCATGTAATCTGTTCTGTTTACACAAATAATCAATGTATATATTACAAGCCCAAATATCTGGAGAACAGCCAAATCTATCCATATCAGCCAGAAGCTCCTCTACAAGCTCAATCCTATTTGATTGACACAATGCAGAGATCCACCTTGAGTAAGTGAATGGAGTCAGACAAAAACCTTTCGAGAGCGCCATGCCATAATACTTCTCCACCAAATCAAAGCAACAGTTCTTAATTAGAACACCTATGTACCTATTGTAATCGATACCAAACTCACGGCAACCTGACATGACCATCTCATCAAATGTCTCTATGACCGAATCAAACTTGCCAGCTCGGACATAGCCGGACAAAAGGATCCGATATAACGATCGATGAAGTGCCACCCCTTGGCTCCTCACTGTCCCCAGGAACTCCGACAACAGAGCAAAATTTCCATCTACAAACAGCAAGCTCACAATGTACGCTATTGCGAACTGGCTATGATCGAATCCTGGACAGGACTCCGCCCACCAGTAAAACCGCACCGCTGTCTCCGAGTCCGACAAGCCCCGGACCACCAAGTTGACAACAAAAGGATCCAGCTCGACGTCGAGCCTCTCCAGCTCCACCGACTCCGGACACATACCGGATTCAAGTGCCCGCAAGATGACACGGCTGATGTCCATCCGGACTGGCCGGAAAAGATCTGACAGCCGGCCGAGAGAATTGCGGGCAGCGTCATCGCTGTCGCTGCTGAATCGTGCCCGCCTCGATGAAAGTATCCAAGAAACGGTGTGGAGGATGCAGATCCTGCTGATATTAGACAACCCAGACGGTCGTCTGGCCAAGAACATAACAGAACTCCCTCAGGGGAACGATGTCGAACACCTGGTGCGCCACTGGCCGGAGGCGACGCGGATGAAAGGACGCCGGATGCGGCGCCACCGCGGTGCCGGGGTGGATGCGTAGCGAATCCGCGCACCGAGAAGGAACGCGGGGTGCCGAGCCAGTGAGGATGCGCCGCCGTGAGCGCTGGCTCGGCGCCGGCAGCCTCGAGCTGGATTAGATGCCC